GGGGGGTGGTCGCGGCCTCCCCATGTTTGTTTTTTTTTTTGTGGAGGGAGCGGGATAAGCCCGACTGTGTTTAATAAACCGGTTCTGTTAATGAGGCTGTGCACATACGGACTTTTAAGCCAGGATGGACTAATCCCAGTTTGCTTCTGCAGGTTATTGCCCCGGATATTTAAAACGAGTAATGAAAACCTTCGTACTTTATTAAAAAAGAAAAAAGTTGTGCCTTTCTTGCCTTGCAGAAGCCGCCTGTTCTGCGCAGCCTGTTAACCCCCCCGCAGCCGCGCCCGGCGGGGCAGCGGGTCCTTTCCCACCGCGCCCTGGGGGCCCGGCCGGGGGCAGCCCCGCACCCCTGAGCCCCTGGGCCTGCCCTGCGGGCTGTGCAGGTTCGGTTCCTGCCTCTGGAGTCGGAAAAGCTTTGAACCAAAACACTGGCGTACAGCTGATGCCCGACGACGATCAGGATCGTTTCGTGTGTCTGCTCCTTTCTTTTTTCCTTTAGGGAGTATTCTGGTATTTCTGTTCCTTATTAGTAATCTATTGCAAGCTTTCTTTAGTGTTGACGAAAATACCTAGCTGATCAATCTTAATCTTCTATTTCTACAGATTTTACTTGCTGAGGTGTGCGAAGGTGGAGTTTTTATATGTTTATTTGGGTGTTTTTTCTATTTTGGGTTGTTTAGGGGTTGTGGTTTTTGTTGTGTTTTTTTTTTTCCTGAATGCTTTCTCTTTGTCAAGTAAAGCCTATTCTGTCTCTGACATCGTTTATCAAGGTAACTTTAAAAGAAGATCTTGTTCTCAGACGTGCACATAGCCCCTCCCACACTGTAATATATGTACGTTTTTAAAGTGCTTGCTTCATTTTGTCATTTCAGTTATTAATCTGAGTATGGGAGGATGCTGAACTCTGAACAGCTTTAGGCACTCTCCAATCTAGTAGTGTGGGTGTGTTGTTAGCAACAAATAGTTAGAAAAACACCTTACACTGCTTTCATTCGATCGTGTTGTGTTGCTTTGATGTGGAGCAGTGATAAAATAGCCTGCAGAGGCAAAACATTCAATCCCTGTCTCTCACCTGTTCACTTGATTGGTTCCCCATTATGTATTTCTCAAAATTAAATTGTGCTAGTTGCCTTGTTTCTTTATCTCTTCATTGTTTATGTCTTGCTATTTCTGGATGTTTCATAAGGGTTATGTTTGTGTTTTTTATTACGCTCTTTCTTACTTCTGCATCGTGGGATGACTTTTATAGGTATAGAGTAATCACCAGGAAGATGATCTAGGAAATGTATTTTTATGTCATCAATTCATGGCATAAACGTGAGCTCTTACAACTTGTTTAGTGATTGTGCATGGCTATTATGCTTTTTTACAGGACGCTATTTTCCAAAACGAACCAAGCATATGCTTATAGTTGAAGCAAAGTTTGATGGTGAACAGTTGGCTACTGATCCTGTAGAGCATACTGATCAGCCAGAATTTGCTACAGAATTGGCTTGGGAACTTGATAGGAAAGCACTTCATCAGCACAGGTAATGATAGAAAGTTAGGTTTAATTTGGAGATAAAATTTAATTGTGTTCTCTTTACAGCTACAACAATGCAACTTTGTGTTGTTGTCATCAGATAATTTTTTTTAGAAGTTTTCTTTTAGCTGTACACTAATCTACCATAATATTGCCAACAAACAAAAGTAGCATGTGAAAAGATAAGTGATGTTTAAAAATTCTAAAGGGTATGTTTTTACACTACTGAAAAAGACCACATGAGATTACAGCAAATTAATAATGAACCACGTAGTTCAAGCATTGGATTCAGGCTTTCTTATATGTATATTGTAACACAGAATTCACTTAACTTCAAACCTGAAAAGCCTAAGTATATTTGAAAATTTCAGATAGAAGAGCTGAGAAATTAAATGAAGTTTCTATAACAGTAATTTGATTTTGACTGGCAGTTTATAATATGACCTCTGAATTTTCAGAGAACTTAAAAAGGCTGTTTCTTTGTCATTTGATGAAAGAAAAGTGCCTAAATGTATCTTTTGTGTAAGTCCTGTGTTTAAGATACCCTGACAAGTGAAATTCCAGTTCCATGTGAGGTGCCATGCTTATTTCATGTACACAGAAAAGACTAAATTTGTTTGTTACTAACATCTTTTTAACAGCACTTGATCCTTTGTGAGAATCTAGTATGCTTATCTTACAAAATTAATCTACTTGTTCATTCTCTTGTTTAATGTTTAATATTTAGATTTTCAGTATAAACTCAGTTTCTGATCAACTAAAACTAGTTATGCAAGAGTAAATTTGTTATCGTTGGGGTGCTTGAAATGTACAAATTATTTTTGTGAACCAATTACAGGAAATACCTTTTATATTTTGGATTTCAACTGTTCTTATTTCAGGCTGCAGCGTACACCTATCAAACTCCAGTGTTTTGCATTTGATCCTGTATCTTCAGCTAAAGAGAATATAGGCTATATTGTACTTGATTTAAGGGCTGCGCAGGAGAAGAAACAGGTATGTTGTGCATCATGAAGCTTTAAAAATTTATGTTTTAACATTGGTGCTGTTACAGATATAATCTAAGTTAAGGCGCAGGCCAAAATTTCAAGTCTCGGTCTGAAGTATGATTCCAACTTGATGGTGTACTTTTTTTTTTTTTAGGAGGACAGAAATCATGATACTGCATAAAACATGGGCAAATAAAATTACTTTTCTACTAATCTTTCACTTGTGAATTCGAGAATTAGAACACTTGTAAGGAGTACTTTAAAGCAATTCCATTATTTAATCACCTGGAAAAATTAGTTGTTGATATTGGACAACTGAATTGAGTCGCAATCATTAAATCAAGTTGTAAGGTGTTTTTTTTAATGGGCCTCTGTGGAAGATGTGTTAGGTGATAAGAAGTTCTAGCCATTTAACACAGCATAGAGTAAACATAATATAATTTATATAAATTTAATTTTTGCTTTATCAATACATAATTCTGAAATGAGTCATAACAGAACCCTGGTGTCTTTATTTTGCCATCACACTTCGTAAGGATTTCTGATCCATATAACTTACTTTGCACTTTCAATTGGGAATTTGAAGATTTTCTCTTAATTGAGCATTTATTGCATACTTGTTTACTGGTTTCCTGTACAAATCAGTGGAAAAGAGTATGTTTAGTAGACTTCCAGGAGTCGTTCCATAGAATCTTTCATTATAATAGGTCAAAATAGACCACATTTTTTGAAATAAAAAAACAAGGTATATTTCTGTAGATTATGAAGTAGAAATGCTAGAGCAAGTCCAGTTTTTCTGTAACAATATTATCTTATTTTCCTGAGGTTTTTAGATGTTTTTGGTATTTTTTTTTTGTTTTCAATTATGTAGGCACCGAAATGGTATCCACTGCTTAGTAACAAGTACACTAAATTTAAATCTGAAATACAAGTAGGTGTTGTGTTGGAGACTGATTCAAAAACATTCGTTGATGGCTTTAAAGCAAGGGAGGCACCCCCTAGAGAAGGGAAAGGTAAGTAACATCACTCATTCTGAATGAAAAATGTTCCTGTGCCAGATGAACCTAACACTTGTTGCAAATGTATTTTAAGTTAAAAAATAATTTTAATTTTATAGCATTTTCTGTGCAAATTCTTTTACAGGTAATTGTTGTACCTTGTGCTAATGTTACAAGGGTGCTTTACTGTGGTAATTGTGTGACTTTCAAGTGGACAGAGTTGCAAACCAACTGTTTCTTAAAATCAGAATCAGAGTCTTGGACTTTAGTACTATGGGCATTTTGCTGGTATTTCTGGACCTCAGAAGGTTGTGTAATGAAATAAGAGAGGCGCTTCTTTAAAGAATGCAATTTCACTACTTTGAACAAGTTAGCAGGTTAAAAAACCAAAACTAAATACTTTAACTTGATTTTAAAAAGACCCCCAAAATAAATAGATCTTTATCTCCTCTCTCATCCCCCGCCCAAAAACCCATCTACTTAGTTTCTAAAAACTAAGCTTTTTTTACAAATAAATTATTTTCTCCTACTTACCTTACAATATTTTGTGTTCTTGCCCTGAAGATAACTGTTCCGTAATTCTGAATTTATTATCTGCTTAAGATCTGTGGCTGGGTTTTTGTAAAAACAGTGGTCAGGGGCAATAAGTGTGAGAGTTGGTAAGGCAATGTTGAATTGCTTACCTTACTCCATCCTTTCAGGTTCACAACAAAGCACAGGGAATTTTGCATGCTGTAAAGCTTGTAAACAAAACAAGGAACTGCTCTAAATGATTTATTAATCTGCAGTTCCCTTGTGATCATTGTGCCCACTACTACTCCTACCCCTCATGACACTGGCAGAAAATAAAAGAAATGCCTTCTGCCTTCACCTAGCACTGTTTTCTACTTAGTGCTTTCTGTGGAATAATTAATCTAGGCAAGATTGCTGGACTTCCAATTTTTTTCTGCCATCTAAAGATCAATCAATACCATATTTAGGCAAGGGAGGGAAAAAAATGTGTAGATTTTCACAGATGTAAAGTTAATAAAGTTAATGTACCTAGAATTGGGTGTGACAAATCCAAGATACCCAGCTGTAAGTCTAGTCAATGTTAAGGAGATATTTTCCTCTTAGAATTCATACACTGTGATTGATTGATTGATTGATTGATTGATTGATTTTTCTCTTCAGTGACCTAAGTGATCTAAAGTTTCCAGTGTTCACAACAGAGCTTTTTGGTACACAACGAAGTGCTGTGTGGTTATGTTATTTGGTGTAACCTTAGATGCTTTGAAATGTTCTGAGTTACTACAGAGTAGTAACTAGTAAACCGGCATACAAAGTGTTTTAAGCACTGAACACTTCAGATGAAAAATCTTTAAATGAAGCGTTGCAGAGATCTGTCAAATGGGATAGCATACTTCTTTCAACAATTAAACAGGCTGTTGTATGCAGTTACTATCTTGCATTTCCTTTAATGAGTAAAATAAACAAACAGCATTGTAGACTCTAATGAAAAAAGTTCCCATCCCTGTCATGTTACTTACTGTTACATGAAATAAAAATATGCTCAAGCATTCTGTTTAGCACAGTGTTAAAAATAACATCTGTTCCCACTGAACATAAATTAATTTCACTGTTTTTTGGTAGCTATACCTAAGTATACTTAGGGACTTCTTAAATGTTTTACTGAAATGTGTAAAATGTGTTGAAATATTTTGGAACCAAGCATAAAGATACTTATTTGTAAGTTTTCTTTCCATGTGTACAACAATTAAAGGAAAAATACAATTATATGTAAGATTCCTGCAGCAATTAATAAGGTCACAAGTTACTTATTTTTTTACTTTCTCCTAGCATCTGCCCTTCTTTCTGGACTAGACCCTAAAAGTGTTGTACCAGTCTTGAATGAAGAAGAGGGTTATCATCAAATTGGACCAGAAGAGTATTGCAGAGACTACTTTGTCCTGTCAGTAACCATTGCATTTGCCACACAGCTGGAACAGGTTTGTTTCCTTGTTGTGTGTGGTTTTGAAGTACTGTCCTATTTTTTTTTTTTCTCACTTTCCTGTGCATTATTTCTAGATAGGATTTTTTTGTTATCCTGTAAGTTTTGTGCAATAGTCTTGTCCTGTATTGAATTAATATACATTAATTTGAATTTTAAAACTTTAGATAGTGCTTACATGTAAAATTACATATGTAAGGTCAAAATTATTTTTGAGCGATAAGATAGTGTTTACTTTAAATGTATACATTTGTTACAATATAGTATAAAAAATACAGGTATGGATAATATCAGTCTTCAATGTATTACCCCTGTGCTGAAGTTCAAGCAAGACAAAAAACTTTTGGATCCGTAAGATATATGAAACAGTAGAGTTTATATGTTGCCTAAAGTAAGGACTTACTAGCTTGGTTGAAGTGCAATGCTAATGTGATTACTTGAGCTTTAGACCTCAGCTCCTGTGTTCATGCTGTACTGTACCACACTGATACACACTGTCTGATTTAAAAATATAGATGTGGCCAAGTTACTGAGAAGGTAACAAATCCAAGCCAGTGTGACTTGAACTGATCTATAGCTGATAGTATATGATAAACTCTTCTCAGTCTTGTATTTTTTTTTCCACAGAAAATACTTTTCCATGACAGAATTATAGAGCCTTGTGAAGTAAATTTACTGTGATCACTCTGGTGTAGCTTGTGCCTTTTTAAGCATTGAACTCACAATTACAGTGGCTACAGGGTGAAGTAGCTGGGTTTGCCTATTCCAGTCTTTTATTCAATCACCGAAGTGATATAATGAACTCAGTGTCTAATCTGCACTCTGGATATTTTGTGAGGCACTACTTGTTTCTGAGTAATTGTGCAGTGCTCGACATTATTGAATATTTGATGTCAGTTAGAGTCCTTGGATAAAAAAATCTTAAAGGAAGTTAAAAATGGGTCATTTTTTAAGTTATTGGTATGCTTTCAGAGATTTTTTATTTTTTTTTAATTCAATTTGAGTGTTAATATAAAAGTTTTGTGTTGTGTAGTGCAAACTAGGATTTAGGTCAGCTGCTTGATGGGATGAGATAATTTTAAGCTCTTCAATTTTCAGATCACTTTAAGCTCTTCAATTTGAAGCTAATACTTAAGGATTACTGTAACTGTACATTAATGAAAGAGATACACTCTACTTTTTCTCCATCTTTTTTAGTTAGTTCCTAGTACTATGAAGCTTCCTGAACGACGACCTGAGTTTTTTTTCTACTACTCATTACTGGGAAATGATGTCACAAATGAACCTTTCACTGATTTAATCAATCCAAACTTCGAGCCAGAAAGAGCTTCAGTTCGAATACGTAGTACAACTGATGTCCTTCAAGTTTATTTTTGTGCACAGTCAAAATTGCAGGTAATCTATTTCTTCTCAAATGTGATTGAAAATAAATAATGAAAATAAAATAATATGGTTCAGGCTGAAATTGGAAAGTATTTCATTTTCCTAAACTAGATTGTGTATTTTGGCTCACATATAAATTGATTCTCCTCCTGATATGAGGGGATCCCTAGCAACAAATCTCCCAGCTCAGATGTCTCTTTAGTACAGTCACTAGAATAAGCTGGGTTACACACCATGATAAAAGGTATTAGTGAAACCTGATATTGCCAAATAGCTAATGTGGCATTCTCAAGAGCTCTGGACCTGCTCTGCAATCACACTATCTGCAGCCCACAGTCCTGCTTTGTTCTGCCTGTGATAATTTCACCCACACCAGCTGCTCAGTGACTCTTGCCTAACTTCCAAAATCACTGTCTTCAGCACTCTTAGTGAGTAATAAGGGAGGTCTGGCTTTTTTCTCACTCCTTTGCCAAATACTATTTTAAAATGTACTACAATTATATTTGGGCTGTTAAAGGATATTGCTTATTTTTAGCTATGTCTTTTAATGGAGGATATGGTTTTATGGTAGAATTGGCAGTGTTAGTTTTATGGTTAAGCTTAAAGGTCTTTTCCAACCTAAATTGTTCTATGATTCTAATATTGTACAGTATTGAAGGTATCTGTGGCAGTCTGTGTCTGGTTCACAGTTAACTCATTACAAAATAAGATTATTTGGATGAGGGTAGTACAAGGTTTCTAATTACATAGCCGGTAAACAAGACAGCATTAGTTGTACAAACTAAATCTTGGATCTGGACCCTTTTAAAGTTGTTTTTCTTCAAATGTGTATGGATCACTTTGTGTTTTGTTGGTTGTTTTTTTTTATCCAAATTAGTTTAAGAATGCATCTGTTTTAATCTTACATTTTTCCAGGGTATTTTTTGTCTCAACTTAATGACAGTTTTTGGTGAAACACATGCACTGCTGTGCTTGGAATTTAATCTTAGTCTATGATCTTGAAAAAAACGTACTTAATATAGCATATATCATATATCTACATCAACAGATAATTATGTGTTTTCATCATGGTTAAGAACAAGATCATCATATGAAAGAAAACACAAATTTGAACAATTTGTGTCAGATCCACATCTTGATTTGCAGTTTTACACATCTTGATTACAGCTTTCTCTGACTTCTCACTTAGCTTTGTAAAATTTAGAGTACAGGATCAGAGCACTGTGTTTTGATCCTTAAAGTATTTAAAGTATTTTTTCAGAAAATTAAGACTAGTCATAAAAGAGGCTAGCTGTCAGACTTGGAGGTTGTGTGTATATAAGGAGAGTATCATTGTATTTGTATGCATGTGTATGTGTGGATATACACACACCTGGATGTGCATACTGGCAGCTGACACTTTTTAACATTATAGTATTCTTTAAGTGTAATAAATGCTGGAGATCAGAATAGTGTTCTGATCTGGTAAAACAGAAAAAAAGAGAGTCTTCTAGGCCAGTGCAGTGATCTGCTGCTGTGGTACACTGGGCAAATCCTACCAGCTCGATACTGAATTTCTGTAGCTGTTCTTGCACTGGTCCAAACACCTGCTGTCAGCATGCAATGCCTAGGCTAGGGATGAGCATTATAATTCTACCTTTAGTAGATGATGATTGGAGAGATCAACTGGAAATGCACATGCCACTTACTTTCTGGCACTTCTGTACATATACAGATCCATCTTTGCTGTGGGGACCAGTCTCTTGGAAGCACCGAAGTACCCTTGTCTGGACTACTGAAGAAAGGAAATATGGATCAACACCCTGTGGCAGTAGAAGGAGCATTTGTCCTTATTCCACCAAACAGAGCTAAACAGAAACTGCCACAGTTGCCTTTGGATATGGCTCCTACTGTTGGGGTATCTATAATTCTGCAGAGGGAGAGCTTGAGTTCTCAGGTACAACTTTAACATTTATTGTTGCTTTAGATACTGTGGCAGTTTCATGTTAAAAAATTGGTATTTCTAAGTCATATTTGACAGTGAAGTAACTTACAGTGTGAAAGCATAAGTTGCTTGTTATGAATAATCCTTTCATTGCTTTCTATGTTAGAAAATTAATATCAAACTATAAGAAATGTTGTAGGCAGATTTTTTTCAGTCCAAGCCATGATCAATAAAAGAAAACTATCACTTCATTCAGCCTTTGATTCCCTTACATGCTCCAACTGAACCTAAACAGCCACAGGAGAAAGTTCTTTCACCCATTAGTGGAAAAACAGAGGGCCTGCAGGAGAGATCCCAGAATATCCCATCTCAAGCCTCCCACTCCTCTTCAGCAGAAGATGAAGCAACAGAAAGTGAAGTGGAAAGTCTTAAGTTTGAAAAAGGCACAAGTCTAAAGACAAAAGGTATGGAATATATATATTTATTTTTTTTTCCAGCTGTGAAGTATGATTTCGGATTATGTACTAATCATTTGTGGTGATAAATTTCAGGCAACTAAGAATTATTTATGTAAAAAAAATAAAAGGAGAATAAATGTTATTTGAACATAGTAGTTGTGAAAAACACTTGAAAGAGCCAGAATGGGGATTTTTTGGTGTGTAGATTACAAGTTATATTGATGTTCATCAGCTTCAAGTGTTTCAGTGTTTGGGATCCCCTGAATTTGATAATGGAAAGATTCACTACAGTACTAATGAAAACCTGACTTGCTCAATGAGGAGATGAAGTTAACTCATTTTCTCATGTATTACATTGAAAGGCAGGGAAAATCTGGGGATTTTAATAATAGGAATTTACAGTGTGGATAATACATTGTGAAAGCATTCATTCTGTACAAATTGCTGGTCAAAACCAAGCAACTGGGTTGGTTTGGGTTTTTTTGTTTGTTTTTTAAATTATCCTTTCACAGAGACTTGGTAGCCCATAAAGCTTTCTGAGACTTCGCTTGGTTTTGTTTTGAGAACTTGGCTACAAAGAAGGTGACGAGGAACACACATGAGAGAGGAAAAAATAGTATAATGATAGATTCAAGCTCAAAAGAAAGAATATTAGTTTTCTGAACATTACTGAATGTGCATTGTCTTAACAGGAGATTTATGAGTAAAGCTGAATGATTATTTTTCTAATTATGTTTGTATTGCTGCTCTTTTGAGATGAGTTCTAAAGTCACCCAGTTCTGTAGAGGAAGATCAGTGTCCTAGAACATGTTCTCAGGATTTTTCTGCTAATTCAGCCAGATTTTCTTTCAATCCTAACTGGTCATATCTAAGCAATGATTAAGTCACTTATATAGACTAGATCAAGAAAAAATATTGTGAACCCAGAAGCTAGTTTGAATATGTAGTGAAGAAATGCAGGATGATGCTTTTTTGTTAACAATAACAGTAATTTTACAAGTCTGTTTTGGTATGTAAAACGTGTTATTTCACATTTATCTTTTAGGGCTAGTATCTGAGTCTTGCCAAGAGGTTAACCAAGAGTGTACTGAAGAGCTTCCTGATTTCAAATCACAGGGCAGAGCAAAGACACCTCTATTGTCAGATCTGCAAAATTCCAGTAATGCAAAATTTATTGAATTTAGTATATTGAATTAAATTTGAATATAGTAGCAACTTCAATTAATTTTAACAGTAGGCTGTATGCAATTTTGGCTGTCTTGTCTATGACAGCCTTAAACTTCGGCTGTTTCATTGCGCCAATCTCGTGACTTTTTGCCAGAATTACTGGCAATTCCTATGTTGTGCTAAGTAGCTGATTTTGAGCATTACTATATTTTTCTTTTTTCTGTTGTTACTTTTAATGCAAATAAAACACTTAAAAACAACCAGGAAAAAATAAAGTCAACGCTAGCAATGATGTATTTTTTTCAAAAATTACAAAATTGAAACATTTTAGGTAATGGTGGAAAAAAGAGATCAGAACAATTGACAAGTACAAAAGGCAGTTGAGATCTTCTCTGACTGTTTGCTTGCCTCTTTCTCTGCTTTACTGTCTTAAACATTTTTGCAGGATACCTTTTGGAGGACCTGTTTATAGAACTTGTAATTTGACCTTTTACTCTTTTAAGGCAGTATTCGGTTCCAGGGCAAGGATGTGAGAAGCCTGGATGCAACTTGACAGGCACTTGCTTCTCCTTCCTAAATTATGTAATGGTAGTCTCAGTAGGTGGGTTCTGATCAAAACGTATAAGCAAGTGTGCTTTACAGACCTAGCTGAGAGCACTTTAATTTATTTCAATAGTTAAACCTCAGGTTGGGAGCAAGAGTTAAACCTCATTTTAGGACCAGTAGTTGATTCTGCCTTATGTGAGCATTGTTTGACCTGGTGCTATTTTTTCAGTTCCAAACTAGAGACATAAGTTAATTCAAAGTAAAGCAAGTTACTATGAATGTTGGGGTTTTTTGAAGCCTGCTTTTGCATACCCTCAAGATGGCCAGGAACAGCTACGTAAACTGTTGAAACTGAAGTCTTATAGCATCCTTCTGAAGAATTTTATATCTTGCATTTTCAGTCTTAACTTTTCTTAGGTGAGATTAACATACATAGCTTTGAAGATTAATTAAAAAAAGAAACACACTACAGGATCTTCTAAGATGATTTAAAGTAGATTGGTGTTTTTGTTTGTTTTTTTTTTCTTTGGAAGCAGTGATTTCCAAATAGAGTGGCTATTTTTCATTATTGTTAGCTTATAATACAAAGGATTGAAGTCTCTTGGGGATCAGCTTAACTGTAAAGACCTATCTTTAATGTATTTTATTATTTGGGGCAGAACAAATTATTAAAAATGCACACAAATTCTCTTCCATGTTTTCAGCTGATAAAGGTGCAGCGGCTGCATCTCAGCCCAACCCTGGGAGTGCTTCCAGTTCGTCTGAGCCCAAGTCAGGACAGAAAATTGTAATTCCAGCAGCCTCTCACCATTTTTGCTTTTCAATAGACTTACGAAGTATACGCAGTCTGGAAGTTGGTTTTCCTATAAATTGTGTTTTAAGGTACATTTTGTTTATGTTGATCTTATTCTTTGTAATAACAGTATCTTTCTTTTAAATACAAAGACTTTGTAATCTGAATAATTTCTGATAGTATGTTGCCCGATGCCCTTTACCTGCGTGCTGATCATTTTCCTTAGCAAAATACTTGGGAATGTTCCTCTAGCTTATCACTAAACCTCTGAGCATTATTGCATTAAAGCTGTAGTGTGTCACTTGTGACCTGCACTGTAATTTGTGTTAACTCTCACTTGGCTATCTGTGTTCTGACAATAAAGATCATCATTCAATATTGAGAGTAAAAAGGTGACTGCTTGTCTCCTTACTTTCTTGCTGCTTTTCCAGCTGATCAGAGCAGTGATTTCTGTACCTTTCCAAGTGTCCATCAAAAATCCTTTGTAGTGTTTTAGTAAGAAACAGATCATTTGTTTTGTATATGACAGTGAATCTAAAGGAAACACATTCTAGCCTTGAAAGTAAAGAATCACGGTGGTAAATGCATTACTGTAAGAGTTTTTTTTACGGTCTTTGCATATGAGAAGTAGCATCTTCTGTTACGTTAATTTGTGGAGTTATAAAAAATACAGGATTTTTTGAGACCTGAGTTTTGTGCCTGAAGCAGAAGTAGAAAACTATCAGTGCTAGCTTGGATCAATTGCTTAGTGATTACTTTGTTTCTAATGTCACATGAAATAAAACCATGGTAGTACTTTTGGCAAATTAGCGGTTGTTAGGTGGGAGGTGAATGCTAAGTTGGAGGAATAAGAACTAAAAGTAGGAGGACCAATTAAAAGTAAGGGAATTGAAACCAGTATCTGTATACAGGTTGGGATTTGGTGGATTTTTTTTAACATTGCCAATGAAGAGAGGAGCTTTTTTTTATCAACTCATTTGGTTTGTTTAAATTTCCCTTAGAGCTTAGGATTAAGAGTTTGTATATGCATGGATGATTTTGTTGTTTAAAAAAAAAATAAAATTCCTATTCATGGAATGTTAGTTACTGAGGTGTATGTGAATTCAGTGGCCTCCCCTGTGCTGTAGTTTGTTATAGCCTGAACTGTGCCAGTAGAGTAATTTCAGGCCACACTTTACCACCTTGGTAAAATGATATGACTTTCCTTTTAGTGAATTAAACTGTAGGTATTAAAAACTACATTTTGCAAGTGTGACTGAAATTTTGGAATGGTTATGACACTGTGTATATATATACTTACATATCAATTATTGTATATCAGACCAATCTTACCTGTAGATATAAATGTTTGCAAGTAGCAATCCACATCTGAATATAGTATCCCATTCTTCTGTTTCTTTGCTCACATTATATCATAATTACAGAATTTTAAGAAAAGATTAATTAATATAGGTGTAACCATACAGGTTATTAAAGATTATTTTTTTTAAATAACAGCAAATACAAATAGAACTGGATCACTGCGGAAGTATATGAAAATATGAATATTTGAGGACTCAGTGCTGTTGCTGGATGTATTTGTGCAAATTGTGCTAACATTAATACAAGTCATGCTTCAGTAAAAGATAAACTTCTTGTTGTAGAAGGTGTAAGAAAAATGGATTTATTAAATTACTGATTTTTTTTTTGTTGTTGTTGTTACTGTTTTTATTAGGTACTTGTATCCATTTTTTGGCAGTGCAGCACCTATTATAACAAGTCCACCTGTAGAAGTCAGAAAGAATATGGAAGTCTTTCTCCCACAGTCCTGCTGTGCATTTGACTTTGCAGCTACACCTCATCAGCTTCAAGATACATTTTTCAGGTGATGACTTTCATTCTTCCAATTTTTTTATTCTTTTATCTTTTATTACATCAGTCTTTTAAAATGCAGTCACAAGATCACATTTTTTACTTGTGATCATCATCAGTTTGACAGTTCACTAAAGAATCCAAGTTCCTACAAATATTTTATACACCGCTCTTTAAAGTCAGGAACTCTAAAATTCTTGCTTTTATCTCTTCAATGCTTGTGCAGGGATCATTGCTTACAGAAATAAGCACTGCTTGCTGCTATAAGTTGTTAAAGCTTGACAGCATAGTTTTAGCAAAGCATTACTTCAAATGAAATAAGTTGTTTGATTTTTTCTTATCAATATGCAATGACTATTCTATATCTTCAAAATGCATTAAGTACCTAGGAAGCTGAGTACAGTTTTTATAGAATCATTAAGGTTGGAAAAGGCCCCTAAAATCATCAAGTCCAACTGTCAACCCATAAACCATGTCCTGAAGTGCCACACTTACACATTTTTTAACAACTCTATGACGGTAACACTACCACTTTGCTGGGCAGGCTGTTCCAATGTTGGACCATTTCTTCAGCAAATAAATTTTTCCTAATATCCAATCTAAATTTGATTTCCCAGTAGTCCCACCAGCTTTCCATAATTGATTAAGATGTGGAATAAGGAATCATCAAAGTAGTGGTATTTTTCAGTCAATCACTTCCACTGTAGCATTCTTTTTCTGATAACTGGAGAAAGGAATGATTTGGCTGAAGTGAGTGATGGAGAAGATTCAAAGCCAGTCAGTCTCATTCCTCTGTGAGGAAGAGGCAGTAAATGCACCTCATTTTTTCACAGTTGTGACTGTCACTGATTTGGAATAGTACTTCTAGAACATTAGGTCATTTCCCCAGATGAATGGGAATGCTTCTTGTTTTGTATTGATGCCTGACACTAAAATAACTTCTTCATTTCAGATTACCTCTGCTAGTTGAATTGTGGCACAAGGATAAAACAGCAAAAGACTTACTTCTAGGCATGGCAAGACTTCAGCTGTCAAATGTTTTAGCTTCAGAAAAAACCCGTTTCTTGGCTGGTAATGGCGAACAATGCTGGCGTCAGACTTCTAACGAAACAGTCAGTGTCACAGCAGCACAAGGGTAAAACTATTTTTTAAATTCCTTACTCTATAGCAAACTTTAAATAATTGTTTGTTTAGTATTTCCCTGAAAAAGGGCAAGCTGTTCATGTTTATCTTTTTGAACAGGTGAACCAGCTACTGAGTATTGCCATATAGGTGTAGGAATAGGCATCCAAGAGATTGAAATTAAAATGCCACAGGCATATTGTGCAACCCCACACAACTACCAGAGTCATCGTAATAAATATTTTTATAATCATGATCTTGGGTAAGCTTCACTAACAGATTAAAAAAATAGACAATTTGAAAAAACATTACTGAGACACTTTCCTCAGTAAGTTACTTAATAAAAGGCTGCTGATATTCAAAATAGTGAAGACTGTCCATAGTATGCTTTTAGATGTCACTGATTTAGGGGAAAATTAAGAGAACAGATGTACCCACAAAGTGGAGAGGTTCCCTGCTTCAGGATTATATCCTGTAATCGTAGCAGGGATTTTAGTTTGTATGCATCAGGAGCAATGTTATTAGTTAATATTCTGTCTGAAGAGAAACATTAGTTTACATAGAGGTATGACATTCTTTTTTATGCATATGAAAAAACTTAATAGTTACTTTTGTCCCATGTCCTTGTTGAAGATGTGAACTGTGCTAGCAATGAGTGCCTAGACCTTTACCTTCTTCTGTAGGATAGGAGAACTTGAGTATGTGTTTAGAAATAAATATAATTGCTATTAAGATTGAGGTAATCTTTAAGCCTTTAATCCTACAAGTGATTAAAACATGCAATATTTGACCCACAGGAAACTTAACACAGTATAGTTCACACTTCCACCAGCAATGTTTATTAAAATGAATCCTGGTTTTGCACACAACTTAATAACCACTAGATGGCATTCACAAAATGTAATCCAGCTTGCATTTTCCTGTGCTGACACCTTCCCAGTTTCACTCCCATTGGTGTAATGTTCTTTATAATATGTTAAATTCACTCAGATTTATTAGGTACACTACCTTGAATCTTGTTTTGTTTTTTTATTCAGTGACTGATAAAAAGTTGAAATATTTTAATGCAGTAATTTGTTAAATTATGTGAACTAAAAATGTTTGGTTTTTGTTTTTTTTTCCCTTGCAGATAACTGTGTAGAAAGTTGCACATTTGTAAAAATATTTTAGTGTTGTCTTTTATATTTTTTCTGGAAGAAAATTTTGATGAAAACTGCAGCCATGGTTAATGCCTTCAGCCTTTTGGTGCAAATTGCTTGATACTTAAAGCTGCATCTTCCAGGCTTCAAGTGATTGAGAAATTGCCTTTGCATCATTGAGTAGTTATAACTGAAGTGGTAGTTTTGTTTCTGACCAAGTACAGGTCTACGCTGCAGTGTACTTCCGTATTAGACTAGTGATAACTTCTAGTTACATGATTTGTGTGCTTTCCTTCTCTTACTATCTTTCTGTGCAGAAAGCTACCTATGTTTACTTCATTTTGTCTATGATTAGAGGTGCAACAGCCAGAGACAAGCTGTTCTACTTCAGGAGAAACTGCACTCATTTCAAATTCCTTTATGAAAATACTATTACCTGGGCATTTTTTCATGGTGCAAGTTCAGATAGGTGTTTAACCTATAAGTGCATGTAAAGTTGTCATTTTTCTGTGCTGAAGCTTCCAGAAATGTGTGTTTTAGTTATAAAAGTATGGCTTACAAGATGTGATATGCTAAGTGGTTTATTATGTGGTTAACATTTTAAAAAAGGAAGACTAATGAAATTCATTGAGTGTATTAGAACAAAGTCAGTCAACACCAATACCTGTATTCAACAGATGTGGTTGTGAGGAAGATTTAAGACTGCAAGTACAATTTTGGATCACTCTCCTGTTAATAGGGATGCATTGATTATAGTAAGCTGTTAGTTAAATAGCTTCCCATTGACAAGTTATTTGTTAAAGTCAAAGCTTACTGTAGATGTATAAATTAGTCCATGAATTAAAACAAAAGGGGAGGGCATGTTTGGGCTCTTACATGGGAAACTGTTTAGAGTCTCTGAGCTTACACAGAACTTTTTAGTACCTAAGGTATGCTGGTTTGTGTGTTCTTTTGCAATTCGCTTTCTGTATTTTTAAGACAATTTTTTTGCAAATGATACCCTAATGTTATTTGTAGGTCAGGCAACAGGATAGCAGAGCTTTCATATGCTATCACTTTGGAAGACTACGGGCTTGTGAAAATGCAAGAAATTCTGGTGTCAGATTCTTCTCAAGTAAATTTTACATATATCTTATCCTTTTTCCTTGAGCAATTCTGTAAAAGGTTGGGTTTCCAGTTAATAATCCACTGTTAACTCTATCAGTGTGCAGGTGCTGGTCAGCAATGTCGTGTCCCTCATGTTCAGACTTATTGTGCTCCACAAAACCATCCAGGACCTCGAGAAACTCATGAATACAAAGCAGCACTGGAGTTAGAAATGTGGAAAGAAATGCAAGAGGACATTTTTGAAAATGAGGTTTTTACTCTTTCTATGTATGTGCTAGACTGCATGACTTCTAGAGAAATTTTAGCAGAATTGGTGAGGGTAATATTAAGTGCATTTTTCTTTGCCACTATTTCACATAAGAACTATATTTTGCTCTAAGGAAAAATTAAAGCTTCAGTTGTACACAAATATCTTCCATACCTTTAAGGAAGATGGTTAATTACTTTCTGTTAAGTGACTGAAGTAGGTTCTAGTTAGTGAAATACAGAATGCCCCCTTCAGCTTCCCCTTACTGTTTATGAAGTACAGTACATACTCAAGATTCAAATTATTAGTGCTAAATATTAACACTGCCTTTCTTTATTCTCAATCAACATCCATTGCTGTGTTTCTACTGTTCATGTCATTCTACGTGTGAGTCACATGATTCTTTTTAAAAGATGTGGAGAAACTAGTGCCTGTTTATTAAGATACTTTTCTTAACTTGGGGTTTCTTTCCATTTTGTACTTAAGGGTAAGAAATAACTTTCAGTATCCAGAGGCGTACCTTGAATTATAAGTCAGTGTACAAAATTTAGTTTTTAATTCTTTTGCGTCAAGGCTTAGTTTTGATAATACTTTCTCCTTTAAAGTTGTACTTTCAACAATTTTGTTTTGGTTTTCTGCTTCAATTTTTTTGTTTGTTTTTAAAAGCTTAAAAAAAAGGAAACAGCCCATATGCAAGCACTTGCAGAAGAATGGAAAAAAAGAGATAGAGAGAGAGAAGCAGTAGTAAAGAAAAAGGTAAGGAAACTTGTTTTTATACTTGCTGAAAGTCTCATTATAAATCTCATAATACTATAGAATTTGACAAGGTATTTTATAACTGTAACATAGAACAAAAGATCTGTGATTAGTCTTAGCACCTACTCATATGCTTGTATCTAATCTACAACACACAAAAAAATTCACCATTACTCAGAATATTTGCTAGAAATCCTTTGGTTTAGCTTGCTTTCTTTGTGGGCTTTTTAACATCAATTGCCTTCCACTGCCATGGTCACCTCTACAGCCCAGTTGTGCATGGTAAGCTGTTAGTCCTTATTGTATTAGGAAGAAGGGCCCTCCATCGTGATGTCTTCATTAAGAGCTGGACATTTGTTTTATATGTAAATTTCCAAGCAAAAATTGTTTATATTTTATAGCGTCGCAAGAGTAAATTCTTTGCCTGCCTAAAATATTTTTTTGTAATGGAAAGGAAAAAAAAACAACCATCCTATTTTTATTTTTTTTTTTTTTTCTCCTTCTTTTAGGTAGCAGAATATACTGCTTTGGAAGAACAACTTCAGAAAACCTTGAGAGATCTAGATAAAAGAGAACGACAGCTTTTCAGTGCTGAATCAGAGGTAAAAAGTGTTCATCATTTTATGGGATGCAATTGCATTAGTTATTTCTGTAAGATTTCTCAAGCTTTCACATTGAGACAACTGTGGACTGTGTGTAAGAACTGAAATAGCTGCATTCATGCTGATACGTAGAGTAGCACTAGTAATTTAAGCTAGTTGTTTTGGTTTTTTTACAATGGAAATCCAATGAATAAATGGGTTTCTAGAACTACATAACTCTGTAATTGTAAATTTTCTATTCTTAACAGAATTAAAGTGTCAGTGGGAACTTCCATGCAATACTAGCATATCTCAGTTTTAAGTTTAGTACTATTAGATGAACATTATACTCATGTACACATCTTACTTCAAACAGTAATTTCTAGATTAACCATTGAAATAACAGAAGGTAACATGGACAGGTGGGGCAATCTGAATTGTCCAGTTTTTGTTATCCAGCAATTTGGTAGAGTTTGTATTTCGTTGGTTTCTTTATAGCTACAAGGACAAAAAAGATGTAGGAGAAACAAGTAGCAGCCACTGTTCTAGATCTTACTGAACAACCTTATTTCTCTCAACAGAGAAAAAAAGAAAATAAACTGACTATTTTTGTACTTTGGAACAGATTAAAAATTATATAGGTAAACTGCAGGGATGATTTAGTGGTCAAAAAAACTCTCTATACCCCTGAAGTTTTAGTTTGTGCTGTAAATAGTGTCTGACTTTAACATCTATGCAAAAAATTTTGATATTAGCTTTGGCTGACTACATTTCAGTCTGAGGAAAAGTATTTATTTTATTCTCATACATGTTTGTCTCAACACTTGCTCCAGAATTACTGAGATTCTGACCTGAGGGCTTAGAGATAATAAAAATCACTGAATTCCAAAAGCATCTAGACAAAATGATGCAGGGTTCATTTAGCAATCACATGGTTTGAGAAATGGGCTGTTTAGGGAGGTTCTTATTCAGCTAGCAGTTAACTGGACCAGTAACATCTTTCTAGAAGAAAGATGGACGTGTCAAGGACTGTTTTCCTGTTTAGCTCAATGAGAAATTCTCTCATTATCCTCAATTTGAAGTATGCAGTCTTACTGATCTAAAGGCATCTTGGCTGTAGCTGTGACTTCACTTTTTCTGCAATGAGAGGATATGTTTAGCATTGTCGCTGATAGTAGGAAGGTGGATATAAAATTTGCCTTTAGCAATCCCACGTCTAACGTACAATGGAGATACAGGTAGCACCATTTTTACAATAGTGAACAAGAGCCTATTTGTAGCCCAAATATAGTAATTTGCAAGTTTTTACTTAAACTGAGAGCCAATAAAATAGTATACAGCAAACATACATAACAATGGAATTTTTTTTTTTTTTTTTTTTCTGGAATTGATAGCAATTTTTTGTCAGTAGTAGTAACAGTTTTAACAAAGGCTCTTGCACCTATGGATTAGTGTAAGTGTATCTCACTTTTAAGCTTCATAGAGTAAAGAAGGAGTTGCAAGCAGAGCATGAACGAAAACTGCAGGAACTACAGGATTCTATACGACGAGCCAAAGAAGAATGTACACACCAAGTTGAGCTAGAAAGGTCAAAAATCAAACAGCTGGAAGAAGACAAGCTTCGTTTACATCAGCAGGTAAGTACACTTACACTTTCTATCTTTCTATCTTTTCTATCATTCACTAAGTAAGCATTTTTTAAATAAAGTTTAATAAGTTGAACAGGCACATTCTGGCAACTTTGTAATAACCATTTTGTTTCCTGTTGTTTGAGTTATGAGCTGGGAACCATCTCGCAATCTTGCTCAGTAGTAGGCCCGGTTTTTTTTCTACACTGAAAGTCAAACTGCAATTACAGGCTTACGTTACACGTAGAACCTGAACAGCATCGTTCTCTTTGGTAATGCAATAAATCATTAACTGTTAACAGTTAGCGGAATGACATAGTTATTTAGGCTGGAAAAGACCTCAGAGATAGAGTCCAACCTATGACCTAACACCACCACATTGGCTATACCATTGCATTAAATGCTACATGCAGACTTTCCTTAAAAGCCTTCAGGGATGATGACTCCACCACTTCTCTGGGAAGTCCATTCCAATGTCTGATCACCCTCTTGGTGAGGAAATGCTTTCTAATACCCAACCTAAACCTCCCCTGGCACAGCTTCAAGCTATGACCTCTGTCACTAGTTGCCTGGGAAAAGAGCCTAACAACACCCAACTACAACCTCCGTTCTGGTAGTTTGCCTTTGCAGTTTGTTTTATTCATCCATTGCAAAAGACTTTCTCTTGTGTTCATTGGGGTGGGCGAGATTTATCTTAGTATTGTGATCTTCTATTCTGATAGTAGTAGCTTCATTGAACTGGGAAAATTTAGACCACATTCTTTTGTCCTCTAAGGTAGCTTTTGCACTAACAGCCTAGTCTAGCTATTTTTCTTGAGCGTTAAAAGCTACTGTACAACTTTAAGTTAGTGCTAGCTTTTTGTTGTTTTTTTTTCTGATTAGAATAATAAGCGCTTAATTTGTTGTTAAATAGATTAAATTTTAGTAATGCATAAGTGTCTTTTAAAGTACATAATTTATGTAGGTGAATTACTTGATTCGGTACTTTTCATTTCTGATACCTGATAGTGATAATCCCACAATAGCATTGTCTATTTAAATAGCTGTATCAGCCAAAGGCATATTTTTCTATTAAGAAGAATTGTGCTATATTTTTGTGGCTTTTTTAGATGACTATTAAACACTGATATTAATTTACTTCTTTACACAATACAGCAAACTTTCTAAACATAGCTAATCCAAAAAATACTGCTAATTACCTAGAAGATGCTAATCTTGACAATTCTACTGAACAGTCTTTGAACTGAGATGAACAGTTTCAAACTGCAGAATGCAATCCACTTCTAAGTGATAAGTGGGCCACTTCTGCCTTGTAGATTTGTTGGCAGCTATCAATGTTGTATCAGCCCAGAGAAGATAGCCTGTAGTTTTTCAGGCTCAAGCAGCCAAATGCCATCACCAAGGTGTCATGTTCTAAATTAATTCTTTTGTCTCCCACTGACTTTATTTAATCCAGGATGCAATTCCATAATAATCACTTTATTTTTCCTATTTAGAGCAAACACACTGTATCAGACCAAAGATCCAGTTAGCTCAGCATGCTTTTGTAGCAATAGTTGGATATAGAGGGCAAGAAAATAAGAAACAGGACAATAATTAAATACTATTTTGTTATATCCAGTAATACTATTGAGTTACATGTACCCTCAGCCAGAGGAAGCATTTCATGCTTACTAGCCACCAGTGAAAGTATTCTCCATATAAACTCATCTGATCCCTTTTAAAAAGTATTTGTTTTTAGCATTGCTACATCCTGTGGCAATGAGTTCTAAAATTTAATTATGCATTGTATATTTTAAAACGTCTCTTTGTTCATTTTAAGCTCATTGCTTAATTACTATGAAGAATCTTTTAGTGCTTGTGCTACATACTGTTCCAAATTGCTCAAGTATCTGTCATACTGTCTCTTCTAAGCGTAAGCCCCACTAGGTTTTGCCTTGATTTGTATGAAGGCCATTCCTACCAGCTGATCATCCTGGCTTTCTTTCTCAGCACTGTTGCTGCAATTTTGAATCTCTTATGCTTCAATATGAGGTGGTTGTTACCACGTATTCTGCTTAAGATGATCTTTCTTGCTTTGCTGGTGGTGGGTGAGTTTTTATTTGTTTGATTTAGAGTCTCACTGTAGGATTGTTCCCTTTGTGACATGCACAAGCAGAAAGTTCCTGTTTCTACCAGTTCTGATAGGCCTCTTTTTTTACCTTTTTGGATGTGGAGGTTTTGTTTTTGAAAAAAAACACAGGTGACCCGATTAGGAGATGCAAAGAATTAAAATATTTATGAACTAGTAGAAGAAGTTGTAGATTTTGAAACAGAAATGGATTATCTGAAGCATTTTCACCAAATATTTTAAACTGTTGGGTGCAATTAGTGGAAGTACTTGCTTTAAGTAGTTGAACATAAATACAAGTGCAACATTTGGGATCATCTTTGTGATGGAATATATCAGCTCCATCAGGTGTATTAGATATGTTTTTCTGTTAAATATTACTGAACTATTCATAAGCTACTTTTAGAAAACATCTCATAAAAATTCGTAACATTTTAAATATGGTATATTGAAAAAACCTATTAAACATTTGACTCAGTTTCTTTGTAGCAAAGTAATTGTGAATTGGAATGTTTTTTCAAATTACCCATTTCAAGATGAAAAGCAAAGCTCTCTTTAAAAAATCTTCATGCAACTGTACACAGTGAGACCAGAGGTATGCAACGTTAAGTCATTAGTCACTGAAGTGTCTACTTTAGCCTTTCTTGTAAATCATTATTTGGCTGTACAAAGTATTAGTTGTTTCCTCTTCCAGACATTCCTAAACCAGTTACGTTTGTGAAATTGAGTAATAAAACTTCATACAGTAAATAACACTGCTTGCTTTATTTAGAAGATGTATGTAAATCTAAATAGTTTTGTTTTCAGTATTTCTTCTGCAGGTCATTTTAGAAACATGAACAAGCAGTGTTTGTAAATCTTGATCTGCTGTCTGTGTGAGGGTTTCTGTGAAGACAGAATTGTTTTTTCTTTGCAGTACTGACCAAAGATCCTATTTAAAATTACTCCTATTAAAACATCGCTGCATGCCGTCATAAAGAAATCATTAGTTATGAATGTGTAGCTTTCAGTGTCTGTTTTATATCAGGTAATTGACAGTAAGATATTTGTTCCAGGGACTACAGAGTAACAAATTCTGGAACCTAATTTGTTGTCTGTGAATGAATTTTTCTGCTAACTTGCATTCTATCTTTATCTTCAATGTAGCTTCATGAAGCAGAAAATAAGCATAAGATTTTGGAGAAGGAGTTCCAGCAATACAAAGAACAGCAAAGCAGCAAACCAGAAATCCAGCTACAATCAGAAATAAATCTTCTCACTTTAGAAAAGGTATCTTAGACTTTTTTAGTCTTTAAAAATTCCTACAGTGGTCAATTCACTGGTGAGGGAGATGTAGAATAATCTTACATTATAAACTTGTCTATTTGTCTATTTTGTTTTACTTTTCCCAACTGGCTGTCTAGACTTTGAATATTCAGTCACAAATAAGGCCAACAGTGGCCTTATTTCTATAAAGGAAACAGCAGTTTTAGAAGCTAAATCAGAAAAAAGCTAAACTATATAATTAAATTGCTACCATCATGGTTTATGCTGGGCACTCTGAGCATTCTGCTTATAAAATCAAAAAGGAGTATTTTCTTGTGAGAGTTAATTTAGACTGGTATTCTGTTATGTGCATTGGTTTTTTTATTTATTTCTTAAGTGAGATTATGCTAATTATCAGTGAAATGGAATCACTATCTTAAGTTGATTTCTTAGAAACTGTACACGCCTTCAGTAGAGGATATTTTGTACAATTAAAGCCAGAGGTACAGGCATTTTAAGCTTAGAATTATGTGAGGTTTGCATCAAATTATTGACAGAATAAGCTGAAAAAAATCAGACCAGGCTTCTTGGCACAAACTGCACTCACAGTTATATGGCCAGTCTGCATGTTACTGTATGCTTAAATAACTTCTAATTATGCAAGCAAATTATTTTAATATATGTTTTGGTCTTTACAGACTTTCTAAACTCTTAGCTTAAATGTTTTTAGGTTTCCTGGTTTTGTTAGATTTTTTTTTTAAAATTGGTGTTTTAAGATCTTCATAAATGTAATAGGAAACAGTAAATATCACTGTCACAGGTTTGTTAATGAATAATGCTTCATTTTTCAGATTATTGTGCTGTGTAATTCGTAACTGTTTTAATTTGTGTTGTAATACCAGATTTTTTGCACAGAGTGAAATAAATTTTAGTGTGTATTTTTAAAATATTTATTTAGATACTAAGATTGAAAAATCACAATAGACTTATAGATTTTAAAGAACAATTAGAACAGATGTCTATTTCAGAAAAAAAGAATGTTGCACATTTCTTCCATCAGCTGTAGGAAAGAAAAAATCTATACACCTTTTAAAGGCAAAATTTATCCATTGGTATTTTTGTTAAATTAGTGTTTATAATTTTACTTTGAAAAAAAAAAAAAAGGGGGGGGGAGAGGAGGTGGTTATTTGAGAATCTTAAATTTAAAAGTTACATCAGCAGATTTAGTGCTAAAAACTAATCTTTTTCTCTTTGTATAGACAGCTATCCAATAAAAATAAGACTATATTTTAAACAAGAAAATGTTCATGTGCCATAATATTTATATTATATTACATAACAGCTTTAGATGATGTTGTATGTTACACTACATAAACACTTTTCTTAAACCAGACCCTTTGTATATATACAACTTTCAGTGATCGTTACTGCTGTTATTGCTTCGGCTGATATGATTTTAATTGCTTTTAGGTTGAACTTGAAAGAAAGTTAGAGTCAGCTACCAAGTCAAAGCTCCATTACAAACAACAATGGACAAGGGCTTTGAAAGAACTTGCAAGGTTAAAACAGGTATGCAGGCTTTCTTTTGTCATCTGAGGCAACAAAGTTAATGTCCTGTTGGAAACCCCTTCTATTTACTGTTAACTGATGGCGATTTTTGTTTTATTGGTGTTCGTCTTTGCAGTATTAAAGCTCTGAACTATGCTTTTTACAATAGTGAGAACAGGAAAACTGACTTGAGTTTGGTGTTGAACTTGGGAAAGACCAAGGCTCAGGTTTGCAAACATTGGCATAGCTAAAAGGAGGTATGAATCAAAAAGGAAAAGTTTTATTAATCTCATTACCAGTAACACTCCATCATCACTTCCAGTGAAAATAACTCATTCCTGTTCATTCCTGTTCCAAACGTTTAGGTTAGTTACAGTCCTAACTCTTCTGTATTTTAGTTATATGTGTGTGTATATATATGCATAGTTGTACACGTATTACTTGAAAATACTCTGTTCAAAATTGCAGGAGTAGTAGGTTCATACTCACTGAATCTACATGCCTCTGTGCTTTTTGTCATCACTTGTCTTTCATGAGTTAAAATAAACACTAGCTAAACAGCGTACTTAAGAATGGCAGCATTTCCATTGGCCTGGACAAACGCATTAGTAAATAAATAATCCCTATTACTGAACAAACTTCAACACAGACAAAGTTTCAAAATTCAGATTCAGTAAGAGGTTTTTATGACCTGCATGCATATCTACTTCCTCCTTGAGAAAGTTTTTTGGGTTTTTTAAGGATTATAGTTCCTACTTCATTCCTAGTCATATTCAGTTTTTGGGGAGCAAGAAGCTAAGACCACTATCTCCTAGTTGATAATTACCTTTCTTAATCTGTATTTCTCTTTGGAGAGAGCGAATGTGCTGTATAATCACTTCATAATGGAGAACTCATCTCTATGTACTTTCATCAAGTTGGTCCATTTTTGCCTAGTGATAAAAGGAGTCAAAAATACACATCTCCAATTTCTGGAACGTCTTTCTTGACAAGATGATAGAAGGAAGAGTATAGATCTTACCTTTCCAATTAAGATTTCTTCAGCAGCCATAAAATGTGCAGCCTACTTTTTTCTTAACTACCAGATTTTAAAATTTCTGTAGAATAAAAGAGAAGATTGTTGCTTGCCAGATTAACACTAGTGTGTATCACTACCAGGTTTTTATTATAAAATTCATCACCATAGACCTGACAATTTGAATTTAGTAATGTATGTGGATGGTTTCTGCTGATCATCTTGCTGGAAGTCTGAACTATAAAATATGTTGGGATGTACAGTGAATTATGCTACCTAAAACTTTTCTATTACAGAACAAACCCTTTCAAAGTAGTTTATTGTGGTTTTTGTACTCCTGTGCTTCATCTTGCTCTTAGTCTATTGATAAAGGATTTAAGTGACTTTAAAGAGCCAAATAAAATTTGAAGCAGAGCTGATCAAAAACCATTTACTGCGTTTTAAAAATAAATTTGGAAACTGTTGCTTCAGGAATTCTAGATTTGCTTTAGTTCAGATGATTTGTGCAATTGTGCATAGTTTGACCAATTTCTTGTTTAAATTGGATTAGTACCATGTTAATTTTGCATTGCCTCTGGTGAATAGCCACAGGGCTGTAATCTCTGCCAGCAATTTGTCACACCAAAGCTCTCCAGAGAACTATACAAAACATTTGTGTAGTGAGGATTAGACGCTGAAAGCCGTATCTTAGATTGTTAATAAATGTTAATGACAAAACCCAGCTGGTAAGTCTTGGAAATGAGATCTAATGCTTTGTGCCCATTGCCAAAAAAATGTTTAAACAGAGATTTCCATTACTCAAAGGTGACCTAGTACAGTCAATTTCTGAATTAAAGAAGCATAATCTACAGGCTAAGCATTTAGTAAAATACTCTTCTGATTTGTAACCATAAAAGTCAATGTTTCCTTAATTAAAAAATTTCCTTTTACTTTGGAACTACTTCTTAGCACAAATCCGTGACAGTTTTATATTTTGCAGAATATGAGATATGCTGTACATGAAAAGTGTGGGACTGTTAAATGTTAGACTCCATGTCTGGGGTTTTGCATGCTAAACACAGTGCCAGTGGTAGCAAAAAAAAAAGATCTAAAGTACATGAGGACTCATACATTGTGCTTACCTGTGCTTAGCAAAATGCAGAAGTTAGTGACACTTAAAGACAGTTTGTAAAGCTGACTGAAAATAGACTTCACACAGATTACTTTTTCTTCTTGCAGTGCAAGTGTGTATTCTTCATTTATTGTAATTGGTCAGATGTAGTAAAAACAGGTTAGATATGTCTGTGCCACAACATAGATTTTATGATTTCCAGAGGTTTCAAAAGTTGTCTGGCAGTTCGCTAAGTGAGGGATCTCAGTAGTACACAAATAAGATTTCCATGGTTTCTGTGTGTGTGAGCATTATTTCTGAGAGCAATCGAACAGTTTACACAAAGGTGTATATATATATGCTTACAGAGATCTTTGTTGCTAAATTCTGTACCAGTCAGAGTGCAAGAAACAATGTATCAAAACAAAAATAAAAGTGGCAGAATGTAATTTCCAGAAGTTAATAATCTCTGTTATAATCTAGAAAACCAAAATATCAAAATGTATATGTCTACATTATTCAGCTTTCTGGGAGAAATATTTTTTTAAGTCTTTTAATGTTTATTCCCTATAGATCTGTCCAAACCATCACTGATGCTCTCATTTAAAACAACATGGGCCATGCTGGCTGGCTGACATTCACTCTGTCTTGTCCAGTGTCCTGCTTATCCAGTCAGTAATTAATTTGATTAATTCATAAGTAATTTAGCCAAGGATGGGATGTAAATCTTTGTTTAAAAAAAAAAAAAAAGGCATTAAAAAACCCACACCAGTTGGAGATCCAAGTCTTGGTTAAAAACTGTGTCTTGAAACCATCCAGGCCCTCCTACTGACTTGTCAGCTCTGGGTTATTTTCAGAAAACTTTACTTGAGTTCCCTAGCTTCAATCGTAAGTTTTTCCCACAGACTTGTTTGGTATGTGTGAGTGGGAGAGTGAATAGTGGCTGCTATTTAGCCATTGTTTAGTCTAGTGTATGTATGTTTACATCTCCCTTTTGGATTTATTGGCAGCTATGGCAAAATAAAGATTGTGCTTCCTTGATTGAAGAGCCTCTTAACTAGAGCACCTGGCGGCATACAGAGATTCTTTTATGATCTGATTATAGTTGAAATTTTGAAAGTCTTTTTATTACTGGTTAATTTTTATTTAATGTTGGTGTTCCTGAAGTACCATAGGTTTCAAAACATGATTGAAGCTCCCACCATGCAAGCTTCTAAAACAGTATTCTGTGCCTCAAGCACTACATTAGACATGCAAACTAATGAAGAGAGTTAGTAAAACATGGCAGTAAATTATCTGATAACTAATATGTAACTTTATTTGGATTGAATTTGTTTTGTTTATGGGGATGCAAGAGGAGAATGGCAAAATTGCAAATTAATAAAGAGAGGCATATTGGTGATAAGTTTTACCAAGGTAAAAAAGGAAAGAAAATAAGTGAAAAGAGCAGCATGAGTAGCAGTGCTGAGAAGGTAGCAGAGGATAAAGTACCTGGGCAAACTCAGTTTATTGCAAAAATAATTTTCAGAGTGATTCACACATGGTACACTTGGTTCTGTGTGGCTGCTTCACTATGGGATAGTGGCTGATGATAATTAGGTGGTGATGGTAGTGATGCCAAGTGTTCTGAGTTTCGAGTGGGTCTTACCTTCTATGCACTAAGTTGCCTTTAATCTACTAGCTGATGATTCTGCAGTGTTCTCTTACATGAAACTTAGAATTTTCAACTTTTAGAACTTCGTGTTTTTAATACTGGTGCTTAAAAGAGCCTGACTGACTACAGTAGGCAGTTGGGAATAAATCTGAAACATTTCTTAGTTCAGGATATATTGTGTGAGCATATTATCTCTGGAAATGTAAATTATGTCAAAAAGTCTGACTGAGAATTTTAAGTGAGTGAGTATGTATGTATAACTTGCATGCACCAAGGTACACTTTAAAAATTCTTAGTATTCAATTTAACTTAGTTTTTTAAGTATACACAGAATAAAATTAAGGTGTTACAGGAGGTTTTAGAAATGATGGATTTGCTTACTTAGTACCATAAATGTGCAGAAGTGTATTAATACTGCTTTTTCAGTTTGGAAGATCTCACAGTAAATTCCGCTATGTTTCAAGTACTTCTATGCAGTAGAGTTCATTTCCTTGTCTAGTTTAAGAAAAGGAAGAAAAAGGCTTGTTACTAAATGGATTGTTAAACTGTGATGGAAAAAGTTAATTTAATACCTTATTGTCTCGGATAAAGCAGCACCAGTTTCATCACCATGATGAAAAAGAAATCCCTCTTTCTCTGTCATTATAATAAGAGACAGTCTTTTTATGGTCCCTCAACATATCATAACAAAATTGTATATAAATTCAAAATCAGCTTGCCTTACTTCTTATCAAACAACGATTGTAAATTCCTTGCCATCTTCTTGCATTGATGGATTATTAGGAAATGGGTTTCTGTTGCTTTACTGTGAATGGTATGCACAAAGGAAGTTTCTATTATGCACCCTACAAATTGTTATGACACACTTCTAAAGGAGTCAAAGACTAATGTTGGGAAAGACATTTGAAAATCACTAAGAGTGTAACTTAAATTACACACAGGTTGCATCATAAATGAATCTGCAGAATCCCTTTTCATGTGCTTTTTCCAAGTTGGACTGTCTTAAGATAAATGCAAGGGAAAACCTGCCTCAGAAAATGTTGATTTTTATTTTTTTATTTTAACATTATTGTGCTTAAGTATCATTATTCAGGGTCATGGCATGACATGCTACAGAAATACTTGACCTTCACTGTTACAGGAATAAAATTAATTTCTATTTTTTTTCCCCTTACTGCTCCCAAACAATGAAATGCCCAGTATTTGTCTTGTTTACAGCACAATTGTATTAGTAATCAAATTAATTTTTTAGTCACATTTAATTCAAAGTAGGTCCTACCCAGTATTAACCTGGGGACAGAATTTAATGGTAATGGTTTTTCTCTTCTATAGAGAAAAATTTCACGTTCTATATTCAAACATACTTCCCTACAAATCTAGGGATATTGTTCTGAGCAATGAGTGTGCTCACTAGTGACATTGTTGTTTGGGTTTTTTTCACAGATGTTTTTGCCATAACAAAACTACAAAAAGAACAAGAACTAAATAAATTATTCTTCAGGAAAGTCATGCTTTTCCTACAACTCTGCTTGGCTTTAGTGTCATTCTCTCTTTTGTCCTTTTCTTGGTTTTATTAAACATTACTAAAGATGTTTCTTAATCAAAAAAAGCTTATGGTTCTGAAATTAACTAGACCAATTAGTGTATAAAGGACCAAGGTATTAAATGAAGTCTTTTCTGATCAATAGAAAAGCAAATAGGAATATTCAGTCTTCTTCCTGGACTGATTGAGCTTTGGACTTTGTTTTATTAACTTTCAGTAAATGTACTTCCAACGTGTACTTTTTCTTTGAGTTTATTTAAAATACCTATTTTGCCATCAGAATGCCACTGTGAGCATTATGTTGAACAGCAGAAAACTCTCCATCATTGAACTCCCCTGCCTCAAATAGTAACACCAGCTTGTCATGAAATTTGTAGTGCCACATGCTTCTTGTGGCCAGCACATGGTTATGTCACTGATTGTTTTTATTTTTTTTAAGGCAAAAACGCATCCTCTGTCTTTGTTAAATACTTCAACAGTAATGCTTGATCATACAGCATTTTAAAAATAAAAACTGTCTAATTGAAAACATATGGTGCTTAAGAAGCTCGTATGATTAATTTCCACTGTTTTAACAACCTGAATCGTGTCTGTAGTTGGAACTTACCTAGTTTTGACCTTCAGGAAGTCCATTTCATAAGATTTTAAAAAACAAGACAATGGATGTGAAGACCATCTAGCCCATATAGAAGCCAGCAGTAGATGCACAAGATACAGAAACCTGGCTTGAGTATCTTTGCATGTCCTCCAGTTTCCCTCAGTCAATTAGTTAAGTACATCATGAATCAGTGTTGTATTTAGCAGACATCAGTGGATATATTCTTTTTATCTGTTTCCTTTTCAAACTAATTCATATTTTGTCCCCATAATATCCTGCTCTTTCACATCCACTTATTCCCCACTGAACAATTTTGAATCGGCAGCAAACTGTTTATGCCAGAATGACTTCCTTGTTTGTTAATATATCAAATAGTAGATTCCTGTGGAGTCCACTATTACCTTCTGCCCATTGTGGAAATAATTGTTATCCTTTGTCTGGTATTCTAAACCCTTGAATAATCCAAGAGGACTTTCTCTGTGGCAGCTTAGTTTCATGTTTGTTTGTAGATGGTTTCTTTATGTGGTGGTTTTTTAAGGCTAGTTGGGACTGTGACTTTTCTAACAAAGGTGGATTCATTCTTCCTGGTGCACCTGTACTTCCTGTTATTTTTGGTTTTAGTTACAATTTCAGCCATTTTGGCCACTGTGGAGTAAGTCCTTCTGATAGTTCCTGGATATCCCTAAGGCCTCTGCTAAGAGAAAGAATAAAATTTTGAAAATGGAAGAATATTTATTCCTGTGAAGTCATCACTAATTTTAGTCATGGATTACCCCTTCATTTAGTCATATGGCTTTGGGTTTTAATTTTCCTGGAACTCTTGAAAACTCTTCGATAAATACCAGCTGGCTGTAGTGACTTGTTAGTACTTGCTATATGTATTTGTAGATTCCTGTTTTAAAACCTATTCTGTGTATTCCTTTAACATGTTCTTTGTCAGGCTTTCTGGCCTGTCTTGTTGCAATTCTAACATTTAATTTACCTGGCCTAGTGTATTGGATTCATATAAAAATATTCTGGAATTACATACATGCTAGGATTTCTCACCAAGTGCTTCTCAGTTGCCTTGCCTATTCACATTAACAATTTGAGTATTTTTTTAATCATTCTTTGTCAAATTCAGATTTTCTTCTCACTTACTTACCATCAACAGGGAGTACTTAAGATGCTGGGAACTCAGATTCAAGAAATTGCCTGATTGGACGCTTCCAGATATTACTAGGTTGACTGTATAATGAATATGCTCACATATACCAAACAAAGTTATCTTTTTTACCCCCATTAATAAATATAAAACTGATCGTATTAACAATGAAATAGTTCAGATGAAAGCAGTGTCAAAATTACAAAGGTAACCTTGCGCTTCACAGTATGTCTAGATCCAGGATGTTTGCGTAACCTCCTGCCTTTTTTTTTCACTACATGAAGAAATGTCTTTTTACCTTGGGTCTTCTGTCTCATTCAGGGTGTAAGACTGTATCGAGTTAGTGCACAATGTCACACAGAAGATGACAGAGAAGAAAACAAGTTGAGAGGACACCACACTTCTCATTAAGACACGTTAATGTCACAAAGTGTTAGTGGACTCAAACCTAGTTTTCTTAGACTGTATATAGAGCTTTAAAAAAATAAAAATAGAACCAAGTAAACTTCTAGAATAGATTTAATGGAATTAAATCCACAGAGTAAGTTATCTAAGGTTTAGCATAGAGTTAGATGAAAATGGTTTTTTTAAGGGTTATTTTTTAACCACAAGTCTTCATCTTAAAAAGTAGCTTGAAGCTTGAGTCTAAGGCACTGTAGGACTGTTTGTGGAAGTTTTGCGATCTATTTAGCATTTTCCTGTTTTTTATTTCTCAAAAGAAGTTACAGTTTAAGATACCACAGAGCAAAATAATAGTTTTCAGTATTTTGAGTAGTTCCATAAGGATAAGTTTTATGTTTACCAGGTTGGGCTAGAATTTATAAAAGGCTTTGTCACATTTCTGCTGTTTTGTTCATGGGAAGCTATCTGTGACTGGGCTTCAGCTGATCCAGCCTGGGCAGGTTTATGGCATTTGTGATAGTCACCGATCTTCCTGCATTATAGGTATCAAAAGCTAAGACATCCTGTTTAACTCCTTCAGCTACTGGAGACTTCATTGTCATGACTTCATTCCTAAAGCTTTGCTTATGTCACTGAAGTTCACCTTTTTCATGTAATCGTATAGTCCACTGAGTTATGTCTTTACTTTCCACGTTAGCGTGAACAAGAAAATGCAATGGCTCACCTTAAAAAACAGCAACAAGAGCTGGAGCACATGAGATTGCGCTATTTGGCAGCAGAAGAAAAAGAACTGGGTAAGACAGACCGGCAAGAGCTGGAGGATATCAGAAATGAACTTAACAGGTATGCAAGCATTTGTAAGATTCCTTTTTTTCCCCTCCCTCCTGTCTCACCATCTGTCTCAAAATAAGGTTTGCTTAAATCAAGATAGTAATTCTGTAAGTCCAGTGAAAAAATACAATTTAGTGTCCATTAAGTAAAACTTGCACATCTATAAAATGCTATGGTATTGTAGTATAGAAAAATCTATGTTTAAGGCTACTGTACCCTGTTTTTTGTTGCAGTCATAGTTCAACAGCAGCAGGCATTTTCCAATTTTAAACCTTCAGTTCTAAGGATAACTGCTGCATTAGGAACAGAAAGACACATGTACTATTCACATTTTGAAGACATTAACATTTTAAACCTACCTAATGTTGTCCTCCAAAAACTGTCTGCAATAGTTTTGTATATTGAACTATTCCAATTTGAGTGCTATTTGCATTATCAAAGTATTTAAATATTGTATTAGTACATTTCTTTTACATATAGTAAAAGAAAGAAAAGTACATTACTTTTACATATAGTTGTTTTTTCCCTGGAGAGGATAATTAGTGACCTTTTACAGGTTTCTTCTAGGTTATATGTCTGCTGAAGTATGTAGTAAAATAAAAGCTTCATGTGAAAATAATCAGAACTCTTTTTTTAAATATTGCTCAGCCTCTTGATTTTTTTCCATTTTAACAATGTCAGGCTAAAGAAAAAAGAGGAAGAGAGAAAGCAACTGCAAGAGATTAGAGATAATTCTGCTGGTATAGTGGATAGTCTTCATTCTAGAAAAATAAATGAGAACATGGATGATTACCTCTCTCGTCTGGTAGAAGAGAGGGATACCCTGTTGAGAACAGGAGTATATAATCATGAAGACCATATTGTAAGTGAACTTGATCGTCAAATCAGAGAAGCTGTTGCAAAAAGGAGCATCAGTAAGTGAAAGCATACAAAAAGTTGTTAAAAAGAGCCAAAATTTGAAGAGTGAGTGATTTTTTTTATGAACCTGTATCACTTTGGAATCTATGTAAGGTCATGCTTAATTTTGCACACTATTGTTGTCTTGTTTTGAAGTAATTGTAAATATTTGTAACCCATGAAGTTAATTGCAGTTGTAAGTTTTATGGGGGGATGGCTTTTTTAATGTTTGTATATTCATGTATATACATGTAAATATATTTATCTTGTGTACTTCTGAAATGTTTTCTACCTCTTTTTGCATCACACTGACTAAGTTTATTTGTTGTATTTCTAATGTTAATTCTAAAATTTTTTTGGTCAATATTACCATAATTCCTTTCCATTTTTAAAAAGGTCTCTTCAGCTGTTCTGTGGAAAAGTGACATCAGCTGTTTTCCCTGACAGAACTCTTCAGTTCTGAACAGAAGTGCAGCATCAACCAAGAGTCTTTTTTTTTTTTTCCCCTAAATCACAAATAATACATTTTTGCTTTTCCAACTGTAGCTAACTTAACTGAGTTTTGTAGTAAATAGGAGACAAGATTTTGAGGAGGGTGGGGTAGAACTTTCAAATGTTATGAATTTGAGATTGAGTCAATTATTAAGGAACTAGCCTGAATGTACAGAATACGTCCCTTTGTTGCCCTAGCAATTTTGCACATGGGCCTGCCAAGGGAGAACACAGGAAAGTAAAGACCTAGGTCAGAAATTTGTGTCCTTATGTCCGTCCTTAATGAAAGAAGGTTCTAAAAGCACTAATTCAGTGAATTTACATGCTTTAAATTCTGAACTCGTATATAACCCAAGAGATATTCTACATAGGATGTTTTTCTTAATCAAGACCTAACCATATTACTTGATTACTACTTATATTGTATGTAAGGTTTGGTTGAAGTATGAATAGAACACAGTTTCAAGGTTTTTAAATGCCAGAGGAGAAATCCACAATAGGTGTTAGTTTGTGCATAACCACTATTGAAAAAGTTTTGGTTTCTAGCCTTCATTCTGTTTTAGTAATTTTAAAATAATCTGTATGAATCTAGCTAACAACATTACCTTACAACATCATCCTTTCAGTTAGGCGTTTTTCTTTCCTGTAGTCACAAATGTTTCTCTGTTTGAATGTTAAGTACTGAAAATGTCTCAGGATTTGTTACCTTTAGAATGAACAAGATACCAATGCAAAAGTTTTTGAATTTTTTTGCATTAAATCAATGAACTTCCATGGATATGACTGTATACATGTAACCTTCCTTTTGCTATATATTAATTATTAAATGGTTATTATGTATTGTATCTGGTTTTGCCTCTAGGGGCATTCTTCTTCCTCCTTACCACAGGCGTATCTCCTGTTAAATGAACTATTCATTTTAACTCCTTAGAAAAGTTTTAAACAAGCTGTATAAACATAGAGATCATATTCTTCAATGAATTATCACTTCACAATTTGAAATTTTTTAAGAAATGTTTTTGTATTAATTTGCATACCCTACTGTTTTTCAAAATCCACTGGCAAAACAAGTAACACCTTCATAAATCCAATACAAATAAATGAAAAATAATTTTACATTTTTTTAGATCATGGCTGTGCCATATCGCTGATGTATGATCATATCCAAATTAATCAAGGAGCTTTTCTTGACAGGAAGACTTGTTCATGGTGTTTGTTCTTCAAATGCTTGCTCACTCACTAGAAGTGTAGTTTCTTCTTCAAACGCTGGAGGGTGCCTTAGACTTAAAGTTCACAAAGATTGGGTTGACTGCATTTTCATAATTGTTTTGTTTTTTTAAACTAGTATTCTGTGACTTTTCAGATATGTTTCTTCATTAAATAAAATTAAATTTTTAAGGTATTAAGGCTTTTGTGTTGTTGGTTTTGTTATTTTCAGCTATGCATTTGGACAAGAATTTTTGTTTACTATTTGTGATAACAGTTTTTAGTGTGTGAATCCATGAAACTGTCAGGTTGACTTTCAAAGTTAATTTCAGTTTTTAATTTGTAATTTAGTCTCCTCTGTGCCTTGCAAAAAAACCAACCAAACAAAAAAAACCCACAAAAATCCCCCCATAACCAAACAAAAAAACCACACTGAAACAGCAGTAACTTTGCTGTGGGTTTGGAGAAGAACACTTTTTAAAAATTATTTTAAAGACTTAAAAAATAAGCTATTTGGGTCCATTTTGTTATTTGAAAGATCACTAGTTAAAAAGTGAGAAGTGTGAATTCTGTCATGATAAAAAAATATATTTACCAATTTTGTTACATGGACATTAACCTTACTGTTTATTGTTTGTATAAAAAAGTTAATGACACTTTTATGTTTCTTTTTAATTTTTTTTTACAGCACAGTTTGTCTGTGTCCTTCAATCTGAAGTGCTCAAGATAAAAAACTTCTTGTATTAGATACCTATGGCAGAGATAAGCTCAGTATTACCCTTTTTATATATATATAAAAAAATAATAATTTTGGGTTGTGTGCCTTTTTATTGCCTCAAAACTATCTTAAAGGTTATGCCTATTCAGTGGAAAGACCAAATACTGTACTTTAATAAAAAAATCTCTTTACCTTAGTCTTAATGGGAAAAGAGATGCCATTTGAAACAGATGCATAAGATAACGAGCTTATTTTAATTTACCTAGAACAAAAAGATGGCTGGAAATGAAACCCACATTTATGGGTTCAGTCCTGGTTCTGTATGCCTTAGAAAAAGGAGTGGGAAGATCAACAACGGTGAGGCCCTCCTGCCATTCTGGTGAACTCCTGCTATTGATTTAAGTGCACCGAGATTTCACTAGGGAAGTTGATAGAATTATTTCAAAACAAGAACTTTTACCAATATGTTTCTATGAGTCCAAATGCCCATAAAAATTAGTAAATAGGAGGCAGGGGGTGATGGTGGGGACTGTTCTATGTCAATCCTATGCAAAATCAGTTCCAGCTTTCATCTGCCTTACGATTCAGGTCCAAAAGTTGCAGTTAGCTTTGGATAAGAAAACTTCAGTTATATTCTGTATTTGTCCAATCCAATCTTTTAAAGGAAAAGGATCAGACCATCTGAAAATGAGGGCATTTAGAAAGAGTGCTCTTTCTTCTGATAGTCTGTAGGCAGAGGATCACCTCCTGTCTCTGCATGTGCTAATTATTGTTACAGTGGTGGGGAGTTGCTATTACTGATCTTTACTGCCAAAGAGTTACGTCAAATTATTTAGTACAAGTTTAACAATAAGGCAGCAAATCTGGATCTAATATGTTTATACACCTTTATATGGAGCATTAGCTAAGGCTTAGGGAACTGGTTCAAAGAAATGGACCATTTTCCCCTGTTAGCTTGTTACTCAGAAAAACTGTCTCTATATTCTTATTTAAACAGTGGAATGCATTATGGAAAAATAAGAAAAAAATATTTTAAAAATAAGACAGCACTGTCTTGCTTTGATTCTGAATTATTTAAATGCATAGTTGGATTATTGATCTTTCCAGTCTATTGATTTTTGAGGTGAAGCTGTAACCATTGTTTGTATAGTATTTTTGCAGTTATCCAACACTTTACACACTAAGACACTTTCAAAACTGCTTTTGCAGAAAAGAAGCAATGTTATGTCTGGCACTGAGCTTTCAAGTATTCAATCCATAGTTCTCCTTCATTGCAGTTTAAATGCTTCTTCCATCCTCTGAGATAAACCTTTGCACAACTAAAGATGGAAGTTCTTTATCATATCTCCTAATAGCTACTGAAGTATTTATACCAGTTATTATATATTTACACAATTATTTATTTTGCTACTACTGTGCCTAAATGATCATGACCTGTGTCAAGGCTTGGATAGGAAGCACTAGTCCTACTATTGTTTAAGACAGAACTGTAGAAAGGCGGCTGCATACTTAGATCTCATTTCATTTGTTTCTCCAGGGGGTTGTATTAGTAGTGTTTTCATTAGAAATGTTTTTACAGATGTCGGCTATCCAGATATGAAGTCTCTGTGGTGGAGAAGCAGTCAGGAGTTTGGCATTCAAACAGAAAGAAAAAAAAGTCAACTTTGAGAGACTAATTTATAGAAAAATAATTTACTGACTTTCTGATGTATAAATGTACACAAACCCCATGGTGACTTTAATGCAGAGTAATTGAATTCTTGCAAGTACAGTTATTTTCTATTCTTAACTTGAAGAAATGCTGCAGCCTGTCTTTCCCCATCATTGAAGACTAAAATAGTCCCCATTAATAATGCTTCTGGAAAAGTGACACCCATTACTTTGTAGTCTGGTACCCCTTTTTTACTTGTAGTAGTTTACAACATTTTAAACAATTTATGTATTACTACAAAAAGTTTTGTTCTAAAAATATACATAAGGAGCAGATGATTATGGAAGTGTAGCGTTACTGAAAGTTGGATCTAAGAGATTTGGTGCTTTACCGAGACATAGCTGCACTGACAAAATAATATGGCATCAAAATGTAGAATGGGTTTCTTGGGGCAGATGGAGTGTAGTAGAACAGTCCCTAATCTAATGCTATTTCAGCAGTTACTTTATGTTACTCATAGCTTTAACTGTACTATGAAAAAAACCCTAAAAATTGTTGTTGGAGAACTGTGATTTACTATGACTATCGTTTGTTTTACAAATACAAACGGAAATAGGGAAGTAAAATTATATAATTTGGTTTTAAGTTGCACAGGCAATCAAGATAATAAATATTCTGTAGAATTTATGTTTAGGTAGCAATGGCAAGTCTTTAATATTTTGTATTTGCTTAATCGCTTAGCATAATTTAGGAGAATTTTTTGTTTTGTTTTTCACTCCTAGGTACAGAAAATAATTGTATTGATCTTATGTTAAGAAACGTTAGTTGCACAGGACGTCAGACCATCAGTATGTTTGCCTGAGAAGGCTGTTTTTGGAAACAAGATGAATATTGTAATGCAATAGGTCATCCAGATCAGGGCTTAAAGGCACCATAAGTTAGTACTTGCTTTATAACC